CTTGGACGCATTCTAGGGAGTGAACCAGGCGCCCACACCTTCTCAAAAACAAATCTTCCTAGTAATTGTGCTGTCTTGCCCAAAAACTCTGTTGCTATGTACCTGAGTCTTTCTCCACGGATGGTGGAGAATTTTCTAGAAAAAAGTCATCGTCTTTGTGACATCATCAACACAGTATCAAATGAAGGCACTCTAGGGACCTCGGCCCCTGGTCAAGGGACATTTCCTTCAGGGGCTCTGGGTGTGGGTAGACATCTGAGGGACAGGTTCAGGTAGCCCTGGGGATTCTGAGGGTGATCTTCTGTTAGACCTGGGTCCCCCAGGCTTTGAAAGCACCCAGTTTGTCTCAAATGGTACCATATCCCTGTGCTTCTTTGGGGGTGGGGTGGACACATCTTTCTGAATGGCAATTAAGAGTGTAATAAGAACCCATGTGTGCTCAGGACAGCAAATCAGCACAGACGAATAAGTGATCCCATCCGCTGACATGTCCTCGTCCTCTGGAGCTTGCAATTTTTATCCCTGTTACTCCCCAACTCCCTCCCACCCAAAAACAAACAAACAAACAAACAAAAACCAAAAACATAAAACCCCACACCTTTGCCAAATCCTGTTTCTCTCCAGAACAGTCTTATCTTCTCCATGGGCAAATCCCATCATGCAATTCTCCTCCCCCAGCTCCTCACAGAGAAAAAGTCCCCACCGGGTGTGAGTGGTGGAACCCCCTGACCTCTTTGCCCCCTATTCCAGCCCCTACCCACTGTCTACGCTGTAGTCATCTCCATGGGGTGGTGTTGCCCACCACACAGGGGACGCTGTGAATGTGTTGGGACAGGTTGCGAGGTATAGTTGCCAGGAAGCTAGGAAAAAGGTGGAGGAGGGTGGGGAGCGTGAGTCCATTTGGGCTGCTAAGGCAAAATGCCATAAACTGAGGAGTTTAGAAACAGAAACGTGTCTGTCAGAGTTCTAGATGCTAAGAAGGCCAAAATCAAGGCCCTGGCAGATTCAGGGTCGGGTGAGGGCCCGCTGCTCACAGATGGTCCTTCTGGCTGTGCTCTCACATGGTAGATGGGGCAAGCGTGCTCTCTGGGGTCTCTCTTCTGAGGGCATGAGTCCCGCTTGAAAGAGATACACCTTGTGACCTATCACTTCCCAGAAGCCCCTCCTCCTAATTGCACCACCTCACGGGATAGGCTTCAACATATGAATTTGGGAAGGATGTGGCCCATTTAGACCGTAGCAGGAAGTTACACATTTACTGTCCAGGGCCAGGGATGCTTAGTGTCCCAAAGTGCTCATGAGTCTGACAAAGAAGAGTCCAGAATCCAGCCTCTCCCTAGCCTCCCTACCTCCCACCGAGATACTTTCCCTGGGTTCTAGGGCAGCTCAGGTCCTGTGCACCTGTGTGGCCCTGGCCAGGTATGCTCCTTCCCTCCACCCTTCCCCACACCCCCCTGCCCCACCGACCGCCCTCTATTCATCTTTCAGGAACTCAAATATCGCTTCCTCCAGAAGATTCTCCCTGACTCTCTGGGCTAGGTTGTGCCCCCATATTATAAGCTCCACCTGCAGCCTGTAGGACTGGACATGCCAGGGACATAGCAGTTACGGACAAGATGTCCGACCATCCACTCTGACCTCAGGTAAGGCCCCAGAGGACAGGAGAGGTGGTCCCCGGCTTGCTGACCTCTAGGCCCATTGTGCTCTCGAAGTGCCTGGCATACAAGATACGCCACAATCTCAAATAAGTACACTTTTTCCCCTCAAAACACACTCCTTTCTCTCCAAACACAGTCCCATTCCTGGGGTTGAACAGGGGAGGGACATTTGTATTCCCATTCCCAAGCTCTTCCTTGGCTAGAATACCTGCTACCCGTTTTCTGTCTACCATTCACCTTACAAGACACAGTAGGCTCATTTTCCCAAATTGCTCTAATCATACAATTCTCCTTGACCTGAATTCTACATTGACCTTTAGTGCCTAAGCAATGCAGTCTTAATTTCTCCAATTTGCACTCAAAACTGTCTGCAGTTCAGCTTTTGTCTGCCTTCTCCAACTCCTTGGCTTCTGCCCTTGAACTGCTCGTTGGCTACAGTTTTCCACACCGGTCCTGAATCTTCCCACTTTTTTGGACTCTTCCCCATACTGGCCTTTATGGCTAACCCTAAATGTTACCACCTCCAAGAAGCTATTAGCAATCCCACATGAAAGGCATCTCTCAGTCCTTTTATTTCCAGTAAGATTTTATCTGTGTTTTAATTGAAACAGCTATCTTCTACTTATGTGCTAAAGTTATCCCTGTGCAAATCTGCTATGGTTTGAACATGTCTCCTGAAGTTCACGTGATCTCTCTTGGGCTGATGTTGGGAGGTGGGCCCTGAAGGGAGGTGTTTGGGTCATAGGGAACCACCCTCATGAACGGATCGAGGCTGTTATCACAGAGCTGATGGCTTTCCTCTTCCTTTCACCAACAGCCTTCCACCATGGATGATACAGCAGGAAGGCCCTGACGAGATGCCAGCCCCTTGATCTTGGACTCCCCAGCCTCCAGAACCATGACCTGAACACATTTCTGTTCATTATAAAGTACCCCATCTGAGGCATTCTATTATAGCAGTACAAACCAGGCTAAGACAAAATCGAATCTCTTTATCAGACTACAAACTTTGAAGGTAAGACCCACATTGATATATTGACTTATCACCCTTAAAATCCACCACAGTGCCTTGGACATAAAGATTACATGAATGAATACAGTTTATGAACCATAATAATACAATAATTTTTGCTTTGTACCTAATTGGGGAAATATGGAAATTAATTCTAAATTATTCATTCCACTTATAGGACGTCAACTCATTAACAAGAAAACAAATGTCCCTCCCCTGTTCTATGATGCATTTAATATTTGTGATTTATTTCACCTTATACAGTTTCCCTCAATAGATTACTGCTTGCAGAACAAACAGAAAACCCCTGTGCTGAGCTCAGTAAATACAATAAGACAATGACATTGATGATGATGACAGTGATCATAAAAAGGGGGAAAAAATCATCCTATGGGCTGGTTGCTAAGTAATTTGCCAAATTTGGAGGAAATAGACAAAGGTAACAGATCCTAACTTGAAATTCACTGGGTGCTGTCTTGTAGGTAAATTAGCAACTGCTGGGTGTCTATACCCCTTAAATACAGTACATGTTAGGTAATGAATGGATTTACACAATGGAATCTAGGCAAACTGTAGCAATTCCACTGTAAACTACCAGCCACACACTCAGAACACATGATCATAAGAACTCCAGGATTAGGAAACCAACTTCTCCGCAGACGGGCCACACTAGTTCCCTGTGATTCGGGCAAGCAACCGGCCATCTTGTAAAACTTCTAAGAATCCAAAGGCAAGTAGTTTTGAGTTAGGAACACAGTAGGCTGTCCAGATAAAAAGGGGAAGGAGTCTGCAGATGGTACTTGTAGCCAGTCCATGCCAATCATGGTCTCTTCTTTTTCTTTTCATGGTTCACCACAGCCTCAAACTCCTGGGTTCAAGCCATTCTCCTGCTTCAGCCTCCCAAGTAGCTGGGATGGACTACAGGTGTGTGTCACTGTGCTCGGCTAATTTTTTTGGTTTGTACAGATGGGGTCTTGCTAGGGTGCCTAGGCTGGTCTCAAATTCCTAAGACTCAAGCAATCCTCCCGCCTCTACCTCCAACAGTGCTGGGATACAGGTGTGAACCCTGCCCACTGTCTCTTCTTATGTGCCAAAGCTTGGGCTTGGATAAAGAGGATGACATCAAAACTACTCTTCTGCTAATCAGACACATGGCTTCCCCCTACTAGTCCATCCTGCTACGATGGTGGCTGCTTCTGCCAAAATGTCATAGCTTCTGAAACAAAAGCTCATCTATTCCTCTTATGCCTGCAAACCGTTACTTACAAAGCCATTTAAAACACATTAAATCCACAATGGATAAAGATGAATCACAAGAAAGGTTCACAGTTAAAATGTTTTAATGAGAATGCTCTTTTGGGGGGTGGGCGGTGAGGCTAGAAGCAGACAATGTTATTCTCTGATTTAAAGACTTAGGGACCCTTAAAGGAAAAGGAATTCGCACGGAATGGAAAGAACAAATCATGGGACGTAATGCATCTGCGGTGCCTGCGTTCTCTCTCTGTCAGTATTTCACAGGTTAAAGAATACCAGTGAGGATGAATCACTGTTGCTTGAATCACACAACGCACTGACTCAGAAACAAAGATGCTTGGAAATGATATTCTTTGGTTCTTTGAACAACAAAAGACCTTGTCTAGTCAACATTTGGAGTAATTTTTCCCAGGGGGTTGATCACTATTTGAGAGGAATGAAAGAGGAGCATTCTCATGATACATTTTCATTTTCTGAGCCTGAAGACATGTCTTTTCGAGGCTGCGCTCTGGATGTATTAAGAAGTGTGAACAAGCAAGGCGTCTGTCCGGCTCTCAGGCACCCTCTATTCAGCCATAGAGGCAGATGAAAACCGGTCTGAAGAATCAGTCCTCAGACAAACTATAACTTCAAAAGGTGTGTATGCCAAGGAAAGGAGGCACCGGAAAACTAGGAATAAGATTAAACTCTTACAAGATTTGAGTTCTTGTAGGGTAGGGAGGGCTTGGAACTGAAGTCCAAGAAAGTCAGAGAATTTCAAACTCAGGGACAAGAGTCTGAAATCCATTCCATTCTAGCACACAGCTTTTCTTCAAGATCCCCGACTCAACTGTTATTAAAAATTGGGTTTAGAATTCCTAGTATTCCAGTTATCCAGTCAACTGGAAAGAAAATGGGTTCTCAAAGCCAGAATTGGTAAAACCTACCAGTTACAAGCCTGAAACTGGCTCTCCTTAGACGGGAGGCATGTTTTTTCTCTAAATGTGTTCTTGTGATCTCTCATTCTACAGACCTGGAAAAAAATCGTAAGGGGAGGTAAAGCCCCTTGACGACAGTTGAAATCACACAGCCCTTACCATGCTCCAGTGCTTTCATGGGAAACCAGAAGAGGATGAGGGAGTGGACCAAGGCGTTGATGCAGTGACCCCAGAAAACCTACAGGGAAAACAAACCAAGGCAGTGAGGAGGCGCCCAGAACCCCGACTTCCACACACTCTCAACAGACGCTGCATTGTGTGGGAGTCCGGCAGCTCCCAGGTCCAGGAGAACACAGAATTCTTGAATTTAGGAAAAAAAACCCAAAAAACAAACAAACAAAAAACCCCAAACTAACTAGGTCTTCACTTTTGCAGACAGATCACTAGACTATCTCCAGGTAATATTACTTTAGTACAAAGACCAAAATCTATATCCACGGAGGTGTAGACCAACACACCTTCCACTTGAAATATGAGTTATAATCAGTTTCCTTTAGCATTGCGAGACAGACAACAATATTTTACGACCATCCAGAAAAAGGGTATTAGGTCAGCATGGTTAATAACAGACTAAAACTCTGTACTTTTGGAAGCATTTGAAAAACATTTTACATGTAAATTCTAACCATTCTTACTTTTTAGTTTTACTCCTTCAAATCCCTCCTATTCAATTTTTTCTTTAATTTAGGGGTTTGGGGATAATATGCACATTTGAAAGTTCTCTTTAATGCTTGAAAGGTCAAACTTTTCAAGAACATAAAAACATAAAAATTTAGTTTAGTTTCACTAATATATTTCAACCACCTTTTAACCACTGAGGTGAAGACGATTAAAGCCAGATTAAATTTATTTAAAAATCTATGAGGTGCTCTGGAAACTGTCACATGGTTTAATCCAAAATCATGATAGGATAACAGAAAGTCATGAGAAGTATTATTACAAGACAATGGGACTTTCACCATTTTATTTTATTTTTTGAGTCAGGTTCTCACTCTGTCTCCCAGGCTGGAGAGCAGTGGCACCATCACGGCTCACCACAGCCTTGACCTCTTGGGCTCAGGAGATCCTTCTGCCTCAGCCTCCTAAATACCTGGGACCACAGGCATGCCCCACCATACCTATTAATTTTTGGACTTTTTGTAGAGACGAGGTCTCTCTATCTTGCCCGGGCTGTTTTCCCCCATTTTAAATGTTCATTTTGTACCACCCTCACCTTTATACAAAAACAAAAAACAAAAAACAAAAAAACCCAGTCTTCAGCATGTCTGCACACAAGCTTCAGGACACTCAGCAGTCCTGCCTCTGACATGAGCCCATTCCCTACTCACTTCCCACCTCAAACGGGTTTGAATTCACACCCTACAGAAACCAGATTGATTTATATAAATAAAGTGGTGGCAATGGGTCCTATTTTCCCTTTAAGGAAACCCTGTCAACAGGGACTGGTGACATCGGTCACCCAAGTCTCTTCATATGTGGAAGACAGTAGAACTCATAGGACTTTTCTTGTTTTCTGGTCTCAGATCCGCCTGTGAAGCCTTCCCAACATAAGGCAGCTGGGAAGGATGACCGTCAGTGACCTCTGGCTCAGACACGAGGCCTCTGAGAGGCCACTCCCCATATCATCCTCACCGGGGCCCAGTAGCTGCCCATGTCCGCCGTGGACACTGCCAGCACACAGGCCTGGGACTGAATTGGGCAACAGACCTCGGTGGACACATCGAGTTCCTTCCTGCACTAAGACTAGGACAGGAGCACGCCCACGCCCAGGGCCAGCAGCTGTGCTCCCATCTCACCCCTCAGCAGGCTGGGCACACAGCTTCCCCATGGGGACACCCAACTGCTCTGTCCCTCTCAGCCACGACATGCAGCTCTGTGACCCCCCCTCCACTGTTCCAGACTGCACAGTCCCCTCAACACCCAACCCAGCTTCTGCGTGAGCTTCCTGGGATCGCCTACACATTTTGGGGCTGTTTTCAGATTCTCTGGTCTGAAAAATAAACTACTCATGACTCACTTGATCCCTGAGTTCTTCCCTAGTTACTTTTACTCACTAGCTGAAGAAACATTTCCTTCCTTCTTTTTCTTTTCTCTCTCTTTCTCTCTCTCTGAGACAGGGTCTCTGTCATCAAGGCTGGAGTGCAGTGGTACAACACAGCTCACTGCAGCCTCAACCTCCTAGGCTCCAATGATCCTCCTGTTTCAGCCTCCTTAGTAGCTGGGACTGCCATCACACCCTCATGCCCAACTAATTTTTAATTTTTTAAAAACAGAGATGGGGTCTCACTACATTTCCTAGGCTGGTCTGGAACTCCTGGCCTTAAGCAATCCTCCTGTCTTGGCCTCCCAGAGTGTAGGGATCACAGGTGGCTTATACGCAGCTTGTGAGCCACCATGTCCAGTCAAAACATTTTCTTTAGAACGAATAACCCAGCAAGTTAGGCAAGCTCCCAGCGGGGATGAGTTGACACCCTGTGCCACGCGGACATGTCGCCTCAGAAGCCATCTCCAGTGCCCTGGACTTGCTATGTGTGTGTGGCTCATGGTCTAAGTGCTTCTCAGATGTTCTCGCAGGTCTCAGACCTCCTGGGCTCGGGTGCTTCTCCTGCCTCAGTCTCCCAAGTAGCTGGGACTTCAGATGACCAGAATGGAACTGCAAGAGACCAGGTGATGGCTTCTGGGGTGATGCATCTATGACCATGTTCTGTTTACCTTTGTGTTGAAGCCTTCAGCATTCTGGGTGATCTTGTAGAGCTGTGGAAACCTGAGCATGCTCTCCTGAGTGCAAGACCTCTCGAAGATCCCCAGAGTGAAGGGTGGCAGAGCGGTGAAAATCTGCATGGAGAACAACGAGCTGTAAGAAACGGCCCTTCAGACCAGCATGGCCACCACGAGCAGTGACTTCATTTTTACTAAAGTCCCAACTGGAGACTGTGGGATTCCAACTTCCCAGGCCCCCCCAGACAGAGAAAATAAAGGAAAGACCATTTTTTACGTTTATCGGTATAATATGAATGCATCGAACGCTAGAAACATTGTAAATACTTGGTCAGCCAAGAAATCATGTTAAATGAACAACTGTCTTCCTTTGTAAGACGAGAAGGAATGGAGGACCCCACCACACTTAGCTCTGTGAAGCGTTTTGTTTTCTGTTCTTGCTAACTTGCACAAATTTATAGCTCCTCCCTCTGATTTTATACTCAAATTTCAGGAAGCATAATGTGTTTCATTTATTCACTCAACAGACATTTATTGTGAATAAATTGTGTGCCAGATACTGTGGTGAGCACCAGGAATACAGAGATCTATAAAAAGGAGGAAGGGGGGACCAGAAGTGGTGGCTCATATCTGTCATCCCTGCACTTTGGGAGGCTGAAGTGGGAGGACTGTTTGAGTCCAGGAGTTTGAGACCCAGCCAGGGCAATACGGCAAGACCTTGCCTCTACAAAAATTAAAAAAATTAGCTGAGTGTGGTGGCATGCGCCTGCAGTCCAGGCTACTTGTGAGGCTGAGGCGAGAGGATCTTCTGAGCCCAGGAGGTCGTGGCTGCAGTGAGCCGTGATCGTGCCACTGCCCTCCAGCCTGGGTGCCAGCGTGAGACTCCGACTCAAAAGTAAAATGAAACAAAACAAAAAGAAGAAAGAGGAAGCAGGTTGCTGACCTCCAGGGACTCCATTTACTGTACAGGTCATGTGGTGGGCGGCAGGACCACGTGTATATAAAGATATTGATCATGGGGCCCTATAAAGTTACTCAGGGGAAAGATGGTGGAGGATAGGGGACAGTCACCACACAATTCTTCTACCCAAGTGTATCTGACCCAGAAGGTACCAGACATATGGACTGGGCAGGATGACAGGCACGTGGGCAAGGGATGCCTTAGGAAGTGCTCCTGTGAGAGGAGCACCCTTGATGAACACGGTAGAGGTGCTGAACAAAGTTCCTGGGAGTTCACGTTTGCACTGAGCTCCTACACTGGCCCCGGCAGACCGGACCAAACTAGGATGGGGTCTCTCCCGTGAAGGACTCAGTATCAAGAAATCCAGGAGGTTCACAGAACCATCGAGGGGGCCCACTTTACCTAAGCCAGCGTGACAAGGATGTCTCCTCAGGTTTAACCCTATGAGGAGAGGAGCTGTGAAGTGACCCGTATGCTTTTTGTTCCATTTCTGCTATCTTAGCCCTTTTCTGTCTACAAAGCTGACCTCCTCTGCTCATTCTATGTCCTAGAATGAGATACCCCCGATTTGAGTATTGCTAACAAAAGCCAATTCAATCTTTTTTTTTTTTTGAAAAATCACTCTGTCGCCCAGGCTGGAGTGCAGCGACATACTCACGGCCACCACAGCCTCAACCTGCTGGGCTCAGGCGATCCTTCCACCTCAGCCTCCTGAGGACCAGGAACTACAGGTGTGTACCACCACACCCGGCTAATTTTTTGATTTATTGTAGAGACGAGGTCTCACTCTGTTGCTGAGGCTGGTCTCAAGCCTCTGGGCTCAGGCAATCTCTTGCCTCTGCCTCCCAGAGTGCCAAGATGACAGGTGTGAGCCACTGTGTCTTTTGAAAGAAGGACCTTCCAAGACACACAGAATGGTGGCTTGTGAGGGAGTGGTCCAGACCAGGATGGAAAGAAGGTCTACAGCCTCCCAGGACAAGGAGGGCTGGAGAAGATGGTGGCGCCTGAGACTTCTGAGACCATTACCTTCTCTGAGACCCTGGCTCTGTGGGTGTGGCATGCTCGCATTTGTGTGTCAGAAACATAAAACCAGGCACTGCAGAAGGAGCTTGCAAGAAACATGTCACCATAACTCAGGTGTGCTGTGGCCCACGTGTCATTCTCCCACTTGGTCCTGTGCATGGGTCACAGAGACTGGGCCACTTGGCATAGGCATGGATCGGATCCACATCTACAATCCCAGCAAGCCACAGCCTGATGCATGCTCTGGGAGTTGGGAACGCACACCAGGTACTTGAAGGCTGAACATGCTAGCAGAGGCAGCCCTTCCCTAAGCGGCTAGAGCCGGGTGCCTCTGTTGGGTGCTCAGAGGCTGGCAGTGAGACTGGGGTCACCTGCATGTGCTTCCTCCAGGCCAGGGCAGGATGGAAAGCAGCCCTGAGCTTCCAGGGTGCTGGAGACTCCAGGGTAGATCCATGGAAGGGGCGCTCGCTCCCTCAACAGTGGCAAGAGCTGTGGCGTGGCTGGAAGGAGGAGACTGAGAACCCATCTCAGGACTCCGCACAGTCTGGCACAAACCCTCACCGCCACTGCGCCACAGCAGTGCATACACAGGATGACACACAAACCACGTGCACAAGCACAGGACATCATGCACACCGCATATGTGCCCATGGAACATCACATGCAGCACTTATGCATGCACAGGACATCATGTGCGATGCTCACATCCACACGGAACATCACGCACACTGCATATGCACAAAAGGGACATCCTGCGCACAGCATATGCATGCACAGGACATCACATGCACCACATATGCAGACACAGGACATCACATGCAACTCTCATGCCTGCAAGGAACATCACACACACCGCTTAGGCACACATAGGACACCACGTAAACTGTGTATGTATGCACAGGACATCATGTGCACCACTTATGCATACACCAGACATCATGCACACTGCTTATGAATGCACAGGACATCATACGGACCACTTATGCACACACGGAACATCATGCGTACTGCTTAGGCACACATGAGACATCACACACAACACATGTGCATGCATGGGACATAAAACGCGCCGCATTTGCATACACGGGACATGACATACACTGCATATGCATACATGGGACATAATGCACCCTTCTTATGCATGACCGGGACATCATGCACACCACATATGCACGCATGGGACATCATGCGCACTGCACATGCACTCACAGGACATCATGCATACCATGTATGCATGCACAGGACATCACGCTCACTGCTTATACATGCATGGTACATCACATGCACCACTTATGCACACATGGGAAATCACGTACACCACATATGGGTGCACAGGACATCACATGCACTGCTTATGCACACACAGAACGCCACGCATACTGCTTATGCATGAATGGGACATCACATTTACTGCATATGCACACATAGGACATCATGCACATCATGCACACCGCTTATGCACGCACAGGACATCACATACAATGCTCACGCCCACACGGGACATCACATGTGCTGCGTATGCTACCTTTCTTTCTGTTTTCCCTTGACTGTCTCCTTCCACTCCTTTCAGTCCTTCACCCCCTTCCACCCCCTCCGTCCTTCATCCTAGGCTGTGATAGAGCCCAGGACGTCTGGCACTGTCCACTCTGCCAGGGCACACCGCCCTGGCATCACGCACATGCACACACCCCGCACTGGCTGGGGATCAGGATGTCTTGTAAAAAGTAGTCAGTCGGGCTCAGTGGCTCAGCCTGTAATCCCGTGCCTTTAGGAGGCTGAGGTGAGTGGATTGCCTGACCCTGCGGGTTCGAGACCCGCCTGGGCAGCGAGACCTCATCTCTACAATAAATCAAAAAATCAGCCGGGTGTGGTAGCGCATGCCTGTAATTCCGGCTACTTGGAAGGCTGAGGCAGAAGGATCGCCGGAGCCCAGAAGGCAAGGCTGTGGTGGCCGGGAACGGCCACTGCACTCCCGTCTAGGTGACCATGTGAGACTCCAACTCAGAAAACAAACAAACAAACAAACAAACAAAAAAGTAGTCAGTACACACGTTTCTCTTCATTGTACCTTTCTTGCTGAACTGGACATCACAGAGACTCCTCTGAGTCCTCTGGACGCTAATGCAGTCTGCTTAATGCTCATGTAATGATTCGTAGTATGGATATTCCATGAGTTTTTAGCCAATGATCCACGGACAGACATTTATTTTATTTTATTTTCAGGTCTTTGTTACCACAAACACTATGTAATAAACGCTAACATGGGTCTTTTGTTTCTGTGGGAAGCAGTAGAGTTGTTGGGTAAAAGGATGTATGTATTTTTAATTTTCCTAGATGCTGTCTGAAAAAGTTCCAATCATTTTCCTCTCCCCTAAGAGAAGACAACAGGAAAGGTTTCCCTGCTTCCCAATCAGCAAATGGTTATCATATTGATCTTTTAATATTCTCCAGTGTGAAAATTGTGTTTCCTTGATTACCAGTAAGTTTGAGCATGTTGTCATAGATGAGGAGACACCCCCATGGAATTTATTTATTAAACAATTGTGTATTTATTCTTACATGTTTAAATGTCAGTCACCTTCAAAGTACTCTCCAATGGATGCAACACACCTATTGAGACGCTTTTTCCACTGCTCAGAACAGTTTTAGAACTTTTGTTTCACTTCTTTCACAATGGCAAAATGTTCCCCTTTGAGTATTTTTTTCATTCGGGGAAAAGAGAAAAAAGTCACTCAGGGCAATACTGGGTGAATAGGGAGGGTGGGGCATGGGCGGTCATGCCAGTTTTGGTCAAAAACTGCTGAACACTCAGCACAGTGTGAGCAGGTGCGCTCATAAATCACCCATCACGAAATGGGCAAACGCGTTGAAAGAATCGCCAAGAACAATTCACTGAAGCCAAATGTAGCCTCTTACAACAACGCTAGCTGGGCCACGGATGCTGCTTGATTCCTGGAACACTTACCTAGTAGTGAGGAAGCCTGTACTACAAGATACCTTCAAAAGATAATTCCAGGTTTTGGGGGTTTCCCTCATATCTGTTGGCTGTTTGGGTTTCTGTTTCTGTGAAAAGTTTAGTCAGGTTTTTTGTCCACTTTCTATCCATGGTTTATCTCCTTTTCAAAGAGTTCTT